CATAAAAAGATCCAAGTTGTCATTAACTTATTCAGAAAATCAAGACCACACAGTTTTTAATAGAAATGTGGGAATTTCAAAAGTTAACTAGCAGGTATAAATTTTCCTTATTAATTTGCACTATCGAGAAAAGTTCTCCAGACAGACTGTATTTAATTTAAATTTCATCATATAATTCCGAAAAGTTCACAATAATTAGCAGATTTTTTTTCAACATCATAAAAATATAAAAGGACAATTGTCGTTAATTTATGTGATGTTATCTTTCATTTGCAAAACATGTATACATTTGTAATCTATAACACGCCAAATCCACAAAAATGAGCAAAACATAGTTTCACAGTCAATAAACTAGGTTTATCGGTTGTAAACTATAGTTTACGGACTGTAAACTATAGTTAACAACGTTAATCTATATTTTACATCTGTAAACCATAGTTAACGCGATAATCTATGTTTCACAACCGTAAACTATACTTGACATCGAAAACAATCATTTGCAATCGCAAAACATAGATTATCTGATAAATACAGTTTCACGATTTGTAAACTATAGTTTACAAACCGTTAACTATAGTTAACGATCTGATAAATATAGTTTCACGATTTGTGAAACTATGATTAACAACTCTTAACTATAGTTTACGATTGTAAACTATAGTTTACAAACGTGAATCTATGTTTATCAACAAAATCTATTGTTAACGCTTTATTCAGACAGATAAACTTAGATTAGCATTCGTAAACTATAGTTAACGACCGTTAAATATAGTTTTACAGATGAAAAGTGTACTTAACGAATCGTTAACTATAGTTTACGGTTTGTAAACTATAGGTTACAGTCGATAAACCTAGTTTATCAATTGTGAAACTAGGTTTATCTCATTTTTGTGAATTTGGCGTGCAATAGTAATCACACCTTATTTTTTTCGATATACATGATGTCTACTCTTATTCGATATACATGATGTCTACTCATATCTTTATATTGTTACCTTCTTTGAAAATGTATATACATTTGTATAACTTTTAGCTGAGAATGAAAGCATTGTCTACTTTTTTTCCTATCAAGTACACGTTCTTTGAAGTCAGGTATTCAGAAATACAAATACAATTCATTGAAAAAGCAATGAATATTTACCAAATAAAACATGTTTCAGTTATCCATTTAGTTCTCAGATAAATAAAAATAACCTTCAGGTTATAAAACTTGCAGAGAATAAATCAGGGGTTGTTTGATAAGGGAAACTGGTATCAAGATGGCTAATCTTAGAACACACGAAGAGCAGAATGTTTGTTGCTGGTTTTATGAAGTGCTATGTGGATCAGCTGTGCCTGGAACAGTGTGCTGTCGGTAATAATGATAAAAATGTGTTTATATATTGATACAAACGTTACAGGGCCCCGAGCTCTGCTAATATTCATATCATTATTTTACTGTTAATGATAAAACTCCATAGCTGCAAGGTGAAATATTACCAGTATTTCATAGAATAATGACTGGTAATTGAGGATGTCATATTACCTTTCATAAGTAAATTTAAATGCATGTGGTTTGACATTTTGCTAATTTCTACATGATGGGCGATAAATTATTTCAAAAATTAATTTCAATTTCAATTTAAGTAAATATATATATATATTACTTCTTGTACAACACGTACATGTAATTACTGTAGATTGAACAGTTCGCAGCACAGTTAAGGTAGGATTCTTCTCTGGTTTCCGACTAGATGGAATATTCAAAGTACATTTGTTGATGTGTCTTATATATCTTAATCTGGATGTAAGAGATTTAAAAGACCATATTTTTCTTTCCTCATAACAATAATACAACTTTAAACAGAAATGGTAAACTTTGTTTGAAAACTAGCAGGGACTATATTTTTGGCGGAATGGTGGCGTATGAAAATATCTTCTTTTCTGCCTCTCATAATTATTATAGAACATTGAATTTAGTTTTAATTTTTACGCAATCAAAGACTAGACTAAATTTTTAAATGTAAGTTAAATTAATGATAAGGGACTAAAGTTTCAAAATATATCAAATAAATAAGATTTCTCACACATACTAGAACTATGTTGGCTTTTAAATGCTTCAAATCTAAGTACAGATTTGAGCCAAAAATCCGTAAAAAGTGTTATTTCTCTCTTAGTAAACGATCAAAACTTTTAGTTTTTGTATCAATTTGTACCTTTATGTGACAACTTTAGTATATGTGAAAATTAGAAAAAGTTAAATATAGGAAGAATATGAAAATAACTGACAAATCCTAAAAAATTAAGAAAAGTAGAGGAAATTCGGATTAGCAAATATCCATTTTATCTAAATTATCCATGTCAATTTGGTAATATCATCTTATAGCCCCTATATGGTAGTATCTTTTTATGAAAAAGAAAAAACATTCAATCTTTTAAATTACAAGTAGGGATTGCGTGATTGAAAACAGTAATTTTTTATTCTTAATGTCCAGGAAAAAGGTTATGACCTTGACCTGACCTTGCCTCTAATTTTAAACGGTCAAATTTAATCTCACTGATACCATCACTTAGTGATATTGTCCTCTTGATTCTATGAAAATTTCATAAATTTTTAAATACAAGAAATGTGAGAAGAATCCTACCTTAAGGTTAAAATAAGTAGGCGGGGCCTAATTTGTACGGGAAATGTTTACTATGACGTCACACATAATATAAGGTCTTCAAAATACCACAAAATGAAATTAATTGCTATTTCAAATAGCTGGATAGCTGTATACTACATACAAACTTACTATTACATGCAGTTTTGTCGTTTGTTAAATCCCAGACAACAGTATATAAACGATGCATCGATCGCAATGCACTTGTCAATGTGACGGCATCTCGCAAAAATGACGCAGTTTGTACACAGTGAGAGGCTGATCAAGTCACATTTTAAACAATGAAAAATGTCTTTTGTTCTCAAATTAAATATTATTTGCAATTAAATAAAAGGCCGTTAACTTGGATGCGATGTCTATTTTAGTATTTTATTTATAAACTGTCCGTACATTCTCCAGACAAGTGATACTGTCGTGTGTTTGTATGCAGATTCATTGAAAAAGTAATGGAAGGGCCCTAATAAATCGATTTATTGCAAGGGCATATCCTCAATGTATCTTGTCAAGTTTTTACATAAACTCAAGAAGCATTAAGATATTTGAAAAGTGCTCCGAACCTCATGAAATCTTGCAAATAAATTAATTATATAGCTATATTTAATGTAGTTGACCAGCAAAATATTCAACCTGCCGTCCAACAAATTAAATTTTAGCAATTAAAAAAAGGGAATCTACATAGGTTCGCAGCCCTTTTCACAAACTACATATAGTGTTAAAAAGGATTATACATTAAACTAAGATTTTTAACTTGGTTATGCCCTTGCAATATTGTGCTGCGTTTTCAAAACATCTTATTTTTGCAAGAAAGTAATTTGATATTTATTATTGAAATTTAAAGCAATATGAGCTGTATCTTCAAAAATTTTATTTTTCCTAGTAAAATGTGCTGTTATGATTAATTTGTATGAAATTTAAACCCTTCTGACCAATAAGCCCAAAATAAAGTTTTAAACTGTTTTAGAAGAAATATTTATGTACAACTGAATATACAGTATAATATAAGAAATCATTATTGTACAGGACGACAATAATTCAATTTTGCTTCAATCAAAGCTAATAAAAAAATTTCCATCGTAAATATAATAACAGAAGTTTATAAATGATTTATTTTTCTGTCATTAAATTAGTTAATCACAAATTTGCAATAAAATTTTCCGATGTCAAACATGCAGCTCATATTGCTTTAAGATATTCACGAGTTTTCAGAATTTTGCTGTATTATTTTTCGTAAAGCTAAAGTACAAATGACTTTTGCAAGCAGGTGGATTCATATAATCACAGCGAGATATAGATATTATTTCACTGTAGAAATGTACAGTCAACTATAGATAAAACACAAGAAAAAGGTACAGCTCACCTTATTGTAACAAACAGTTCATTGGTTGCATCCGTTTCATTAGTAGAGGTGTACCTCACCTTATCCTTGTTAATTTTCCATTTCTGGCTAGTATGTAATAAAGTTTGTACACAAAATCGTGATTTATTCTGATGGAAGTCACTGAAAACATTTTTTTTTCAATTCTCTTTCTTTAGCATTGACCAAAGAGATACGTGATAAATCAAGCAATTTGAAAGCAAGGGTTTCAGAATTGAAAAGAAGAAAACATCAATCACTTTATGTTGATTTACGGTCATTTATTTAAGATAAAACATGTTTTCCTGCAGTTTGGAAATTCAAGAGCACTTATATACAATACAAAGAAAAATGAGACGGGACATTTGTTTCCTTTAAGATGTGTCTGATATTGTTGTATATGGTGTAAAAACAAGTACACCCTGTAAAGTACTAGTACCTCTTATGGAGAAGATATCAGATAACGGAGATTGGAAATTCAAAAGCACTTTTAAAAAATACAAAATGAAATATATTAGGACAGTTTTGAGAGTTAAGTAATAAAATAATTATAGAAAAAAAAATTAAAAAGGTTCAAAACATCAAAATAATAATGAGTAGATAACGAGTATGTAATTTTCTTCAAAATGAATTCTCCCAGTAATTATTTTTAAACAATAAAATGCTTTCTTTGGCTGTTGGTACGGAAATTAATGTCTCAGCGGTTGCAGAAAAATAAGCAGGTTATTTTTATTTTTTCTGCAAAAACTGTGACGTTAATTTCCGTATTAACAACCAAAGAAAGTCATGTTATTGTTTATATATTTATACCAGTTTAAATAGTCATTGAAAGTAGAGTCAAAAGGACTAATTATTATATTATTCATATGTACCTCGTAGTACGTTTCTTTAATGGAACAGCGACTGATCAAGAAATCTATACAGTATACAGGTGATTGCCTAGTGTTGTTCTTGTAATGATTTTCGGCAATGGTTTTCTTTAGAAATAAAGGAGAAAACATTCAATGGATGTAAATGTTTAATAATTTCCGACAAGGGAATTGACGATAAATTTAAATGTTTCATCTGAAGAAGTTTATAAATAAAAATAACATAATAAAACATGTTGTAAGGCATTATTTGAAATAAAAAAAAATGTCTGGAATGGGACTTCATAATAAGGCAATGCAAAACTAATCATAAGCTTATTGCAGGTCATTAGATCTAGAAAATCTATTTTTGGTTTGATCAATCAATTTTTACACTGTTGTTGTAGATTTATTTCCGGTCAATAACCTGTCGGATGGCTGGAACTCAGAACCCGTGTCATCTCTCTGTTGAGCTTGTTTAGTCTTCGTTTTCTCCTTTTCTGGCTGAAATGATGACATGACACATCAATAATCATTGTAAAACACTAGTAGGCTGCCGTCATCTTTCTTAAGGTCATTTGAATTTTTTTAAAATAACTTTAACATCAAACAAAAACTTCTGAAATGTTTGCATCACGCTAAGAACTAGATATTTTTTGTATTGTTGAGACAAATTTATTGTATCTTACCTCCTCGGCAAACTTGTAAATAAGATATTCAATAATGGTTACTAAACTACCAAACACCAGTCCAATGGCTAGCGCCACCATAGCCCCGGAAAAATGACCAACATCTAGCACGTAAAATTTTGGAATCTCGTACAGTTCAGGCCGACTATCATCAAACACTATTCCCCGACATGATGTCGAAAACCAATTTTCGTTCATATCGTTTAGGTAGCCTAGTTCATCAGTAGTCGATATTGCTACATTAATTCGTCGCTTATTTAAAGAGTCTTTTGGAAAAGCAAAGGCAAAATGTCTATACACAGAGGTATCCTCAACGATGTAAAGCTTACAGGAGTAAGTCCTCAGGTAATATTTTATCATCATTGATTCTCCGAGTAAAGCTAAGGCCTGTGTTGGCTCTTTACTGACTCTCTCTAACCCTTCTTTAATGGATGGGACTGTTTTGTATCCTTTTGATCTTAGATGTTGTGCTATCCTCGCATTTGAATTTAAAATGAACTCTTCCATGGCTCCTCCTTTGGTTATTAAGTACGGAATGTCACTGTTTGCGAGATCTTTGAGGTTCTTCACTCTGACCATCCTTTCGCTGTGCTCTGCGTTCGGTTCGATTCTCAGTAAATTTGATAGATTTGCAATATAACACGAGATAGATATAACAACAAACAACCACCAAAACATAACGATGACTCTGCCACCGATGGAACGAGGAGCTCTCGTGTAACCTGTAAGATAAAGTCTTTTTTGTACCATACTTTGATACTGTACACAGGGAAATTTTCGCCCCCTTTCGCCCTACCCTCATTTAGGCGAATTTAAAACGGGCGAATTAAAAGAATGCAGTATAATTTTTAAACAAAACTATGACGGGGCGAATTAAAAACGGGACAAAATTGTTTGCAAGTGTGAAAGGGCGAAAATAACCCTGTATACGGTATACAAAACGATGTGTTTGCTATTATACTTTTAGCATCAAATATACTTCAGTCATGAAGTACATACTATTAGCTGCTGAACATGCTCTATGGTTGAGGAAATTCAAACAGACAAGGCAGACAGCTACAGCTCCAAGAGTTGTAAAAATCAAACTTTCAGAACTTTCTCAACAAGAAAGCCACAAATATACTTGAAGTAAAAACATTAAAAATTATTTCCAGGAGACATTCAAGGCCTTGACATTCAGTAGTTCTTATTTTCTCATTCTCATTTTCTGTTTTTTTTTCTCTCGCTCATTCATGATTGTTTTTGCATAAACCCCTCTGGTACCAACCAAGTGCTAACGGAATACGTACCTTGCCACATTAAAGCACTCATCACAAACCAGAAACTGTTCATACACGTAAAAGACTCTCCCTCTCGTAGTGAGGCCTCGCCATCACGTGACATCCTCCGCCATTCATAAGGATTAAAATAAGACACCACATAAAGAAGTGTGCTGGTAACAACAAACGAAATGAAAATCATCATCCATACACTAGGCTTTAAAGGATCCCAGACCCTCAGCAGACGATGGCCGATTGATTCTTCAGCTTTGTGTGGTTGCCTTAGAACTATACCAAAAGGTGTAGTCAGAAAAGGAGTTGAAAAATCGACAACTTGTGCCCGCTCCGAAGTTATTGTAAATGGACCGGCGGCCAAATCCACTCTCTATGAAAAAATTATAAAAGAAACAAAATTTAGCATTCATAAATTGAGAACAAGCCATGCAAAGTGCATAGAGCTTCAAAAGTATAAAATAAAATCATATGCAATTTGTGAAATTTTAAAGAAAAGTATTATTATTGAAACGTCCCAATTAATGAAAAATAAGAATACTAGTAAATTGCAACTGGAAAATTCTCAAAAAAGTATATTTTGGTTTTCAAAACTATCCTTTGAAAAAAAATGACAAAAATCCTTGGTTTAAGACTACATGCTTGTATCACCGTGCAAAATTGACCCATTTTACAACACATCTTTTGGACTTTTATTTTGAACTTTAATATTTTTCATCTATCATTTTCATTGAACTTATTTTTTTATTTTTAAATCTTTATTTACTGTTGGACTATGAAACACCCAATTTTTACTTAATTACATAGTGACACTATATGGACAATTGTTGAGAACTACAAAGAGACAGAGTGTTAACCGTCATTAATCTCTAATGCCTTATAAAAACAAACATGTAATTATTCCATTAATCTTTCTTTCATGTTCATCTTATCAAAACTTTTCACAGATTGTATAATTCACTCAACACATGTCATTTTGTCACTCAATTTGCTAATTGTTCCAAAGAATTCTTTTATATACCAGTATCTAAATTGTATTTGTCAGTTCGGAGGCCCGACGCATTACTGGCCACTTCCGTCTGTGTTCCCCGCTTGTATTTCTTGAATGTTAAAATTGTTGTTCATCATTTTAATTACATGCATTTACAAATAAACTCGGAAACCAGATTACCCGTTACTTTGGATTTCTAATATGTGCAGTCGGGAAGAGTCCTAGGAATACGGCTTTACTACTTCCGGCCAACGGCGCCACTCACTTTCCCTGCCAACATTCCCTCTTTCCCGATCAACAGCATATTATATATTTTGACCCAAACTACGTGGTTATACTTGTCTGCCCATTTTCTTTAATAATAATACAGTCTGTACCTTTGTTTATCTTACTTACACAATAGCAGTAAGGTTTCTTTTTTTTCTGAAAACATTTTCTTTTTAGATAACCTCATATACAATTTAAATAACTTCATTTACCCTTTGAATAACTTCATGTACCTTTTGAATAACTTCATTTAATGTTCCACTCCAGTTTCCTGGAGTTATCTCTCTTCCAAAGGTCCCGTCAGGCGAGATTTCGATATCATAATCAAAGTCCACTTTCTTCTTCAGCTCCTCTAGCAGGTCTATAATGTAACCGCGATATGTCTTATTTATATTCCCGTTCGTTCCCTTCTCTTCCATCAGAAATGGAGAAGTCTAAAAAGTAAAAGTTCAGCTAAAGCAAGACCAAGAAAAAAGAGGATCACTAACTGCAGAGAATGAGAATCTCTAACTGCAGATTATTAATACTATTCAAAATAAAATTATGAGTGTCCGTGATTAGAAAAGAAGATTGAGAGTTTTGGTCTTCTTAAAATTTATACTTTATTTAATTTGTTTTAAAGATATGTGCAATTCCATCTACATGTACTTGCTATATGGCGTTGACTTAATCTATGACTACAAACGGCCTTTACTATTGAAAACTTCTAATTTAAAGGAAACGTTCTACTATCTAAAGCAATCGATTTCTTAATTTAATTTGACTTTCTAGTATGTTACAAGGATGCAACATGAGTTAGTACCTCAATGATGCAAAAAGGGCTTAATTCTTCTTTAAGGAATCAAACTGTCTTAATGCTTCAAAAAAGCAAAGTGACTTAGTGCAAGGATACACAATATCTTAATGATTCAAGGAAGCAAAACGGCCTAGTGCTACAAGGATGCAAAATATTTTGGTTGGTGCTTCAAGGATGCAAATGACCTAGTGCTTCAAGGATGCAAAAACAGGATTTAGAGCTTCCAGCATGCAAAAATTTGGTGCTTCAAGGATGCAAATGACCTAGTGCTTCAAGGATGCAAAAACAGGATTTAGAGCTTCAAGCATGCAAAAATTTGGTGCTTCAAGGATGCAAATGACCTAGTGCTTCAAGGATGCAAAAACAGGATTTAGAGCTTCAAGCATGCAAAAATTTGGTGCTTCAAGGATGCAAATGACCTAGTGCTTCAAGGATGCAAAAACAGGATTTAGAGCTTCCAGCATGCAAAAATTTGGTGCTTCAAGGATGCAAATGACCTAGTGCTTCAAGGATGCAAAAACAGGTTTTAGAGCTTCAAGCATGCAAAAAGTACGAAGTTCTCCAAGAATGCAAAATGGTTTAGTGCTTCTAGGATGAATAGTGACTTAGTAAGAGGGAATTAGATGTGGAATAAAGGCAGCAGAGTCAATATCACTGAATGTTTTGACGAGGATTTTGGAACATGTTAGAGAGATAAGATATAAATGGGCAGTATAAGAAGCGTTTTAATTTTTATGGCCTTAGCACCATGGCCATAGATGAAGACAATTTATTTTATTTAAGGAATGAAGCTAATTTCAAGTTATGTTATACGATATAACATAACTTGGGGCAGTTTACATCATTCATTTACCTATTTGCCACTTGCTTACTTGGGATATTTTTAGATAGAATGGACTATAAAATAGAAACATACTCTAGAAAGAACGGTTTGAGTAAAATCTATTATTTTGAAATAGTTTGTTATTTAAAGCCCCTCTCTAGACTTTTTCACTCTTACGGAGACACCACCACTTGCCGGTGTAGAGCTGCAAAGTTTGTCCTTTGCTCGGTGACTCAGGGTGTATTGAACAATGGGGAATCTTTTTCGTGCCCACACCTACTTCGACATGGGGCTCGGTTTATACGGTCTCATTCGAACGACCGGTCTCCACGTCCCACTGTGGGATTCGGATAAGACCCTATAAAGTGAGGTCCCGTGTAGCAATAGCTGCTAGCACGAAGACCCCTCCCTGCTCAATGGCCCTGAGATCCGAGTACTTTTGATTTGGTGGTGCTATATGGCTTTCATATTCCAAAGGTGTTTTCCTTGTGACAAGACCTTTCTTTGGGTACCACAAAATTTGACCTCTAGACCTTGACCTGTGAGTTTGACCCACTTTTACAAAAAAGAACAAAACCAAACATTAATCTTGGCCATTTTTTTTTGAACAGTGAATACAAGAGCGTTCTTATTTCACGTGTGTATTCCTTGTTACAAGATCTTCCTCCGGATGCCTTTGGATGCTAGCAATTTTGATCTTGACCTTGGAAATTAATATAAGCTACCATACGGAGGCATCAGTGTTTTACAAAAACATCTTGTTTTCATTGTTTATGTGAAAAGGGCATAAAAACAAGCAGATCAGTTTTATATTTATATAAAAATCACAATAATTACCTCTCTTACATGAATATAAATTACTTTATAGCATTTTTTTTACAGTTTCGAATACTTGCCAAAGATGTGGAATTGGCTGGTGTTCGTAAATTGTTACTACTATATGTATAAACATATATTTATGAATATAAAATAACAGAAAGGTAGACCTATTTGTTATAAAATGACGAGCTTGATAAAATCAATAAAATGCTAATTTCCACGGCTCTTATAAACAATTGTCTGCTGGAACAAATTACCTATGAGTGGTAGCGTAAAGTAGATAATTTTAGTTATGAAAGCCACTCACGTATGACCTAAATACACGAGATTGCATCTTGTACTAGTATGTCCAAAAATAAAATCCAACGGGGTTGATAATCCTATCATTTGAAACGTGTTCCTCATTACCACCCAGTTCTAAAATGTATATTTACAGTTTGTTGAGAAATGTTTGTACAAACACATTGAATGCTTTCTCTTTTTTATCACTCAAACGGGTTCGAATCCCACCGTGGAACGTGGAGACCGGTCCTTCGGATGAGACCGTATAAACCGAGGTCCCGTGTCGCAGTACTGAGGTGCTGGCAAGATAAATATCCATCCCTGCTCAATGGCCCTAAGTGCCGAGTATAGAAAAAAATGTAGCTCTCCACCGGCAAGTGGTGGTCTCCAGATGAGTGAAAAATTCTCGAGATGGACGTTAAACAATTTACAATCAATCAATCATTTATCACTTAAATTACAAATAATTTTTAATATATGCAATATTTTGTTAGTAACATTTCTTTTTGTTTTACAGAAAGTATTCCAAAAATTGTTTTCCCAATTAAATAAATTATGCTGCAATCTCTGAGTCTGGCGAGTCAAATATAAATATAACTGGAATACTGTCAATCAATCTCTTCTCGTAAACTGAGATTGGAATTTACAGGCCGTACTGATTGATCTGGACTTATTTATATAATTCAACAGCCGGAAAAAGAGTCATTTCCTTCTAATTTAAAGGAGAAAATCAATAAAAGACCAACGAAGATAAATTTGTCACACAAAACTAACTGACATACTGGAATTATAATACTTTATTGCATATATACCGAGATGTGTGATTTTGTTTGAATGTTGATGATTGAGATTTGTGTACTGTAACGATATAGGGATGCCACTCAGATAGAAAGGCGCCACGATAAATAATTAATACTTACCAGCACCGAAGAGACAATTAACGATGGTGTCTGAAACAAATAATTATTACATAAGGAGTCCATTAAATGTTCCGTGAGTTGTTATTTCTAACGGATAAAAAAGTATTACTTTTAATTTATTTAATATTATAATCAGTACTCTCTCTCATTCTCTCTCTCTCTCTCTCTCTCTCTCTCTCTCTCTCCATGCAGACATGGAAAGGCATGCCTATCACACACTCACACTACCTGTGCTAAAAATAGATTTGATTGGGTTTAACATTTTCAAAGTGATGAGAAAATTAGCTGAAAATGACTTCATTAAACCCAATTACTTACCTCACTCGATACGAATGTGTAGCAAATTAATAAGCTCCAATATGCCAAAAGATCCATAATTTTGATAATAACAGAGAGAGTTGTATAAGCAAAGAATCTAGCGCGTCTCGGAATTAAACGTTCTTTCTCTGCAAACGCTGTACAAGCCGAGCCTCCAATACATAATGTGGAAAACACACCGCTCAGGTTAGCCAGCCTAATTAGATCGTTGTGTTTTCTTCTCTTTCCTCACAATCGGATAATATTTATGCAATGATATTAATAGCTGTGCATCCATGTGTCGGGGTAGAAAGTAGACATATTATGTAATCATATTTAGCATGTTCGTTGACTTTAATAAACACTAATGTTGAATCAATATCATTAAAAAATTACCTACCGGTAAGTACCACCATAGAGAAAGAATTCAATAAAAACAAGAACTAGAGGTAAAGTTAACAGTGAGCTCACAAAATGATAAACTCGTTCTTATATAATTATCATGGCAATGGGCATTTTTGCTATGGGAAAGCCAAAAATATCTGTCTTTAAAAAAGGAATATGCACAATAAGACTACATGTATATGTAATAAAGATTCTCCAGAAATATCATATAATTTCATTCAGTGATATAGGAGGAGTTGCAATTAAGAAATGGGTAACGCCGATAATTCAGAAAGAATGGCGTGTATATTTGCTTTGAAAAACTCAAATGTGTCCAATTAATAAATTACGAGGAGTGCAATTCTATTATGTAAAAAATATTAGAGAATGAGAGTGTCAATGTTTTGCCTTTGGAAAGTCCAAATATGTGCCCGATCATGGAGTTATATTGAGGTTTGATCAAAAGCTTAACAGATGGACGCAAGGACAGACAAACAGACGGACATCACTATAACTATATACATCCTACTTTATATTGTGTAAGCTGTGATGGTGATGGGGATTAAAATCAGTTTCACATGTATGTCTTCTTCTCTAGATAAAAATTGCGTTGTTTTTTATGATCATGTTTCTCCAAATCTAAGAAACTGTGTTAATATATTCTTTAATTGAATTGAAGTTAATGGGTAGGTTTGTTTGATGTTTAAAGTCCCTCTCAAGAATTTTTCATTCCTATAGAGACCGTGACGCCACCATTTGCCGGTGGAGATCTTGAAGTGCCAAAAATACTAAAGCACACAGTTTGGGACTCTGTTCCTCCATATCTATGTAACAAAAAGGAACATGGAAAGATGCCCCGTATGTACATGTCAAGTACTTTGTTTCTATAAATATAACTTCCTCGATAACGTTGACTTCTAGTATATTTCTGAACAAAATATTTTTTTTAAACCGAAAATCAAGTTTGAAAGATATACAAAATGGGAGCAGAGCAAACACGGACCTCAAAAAATATCAGAGGTGGATCAGGTGCCATGCAGGGGAAAGCATTCCCTGTCGTCCTGTCACACCTGCAATCTGCTCATTGTAATGATCGGACAAAAGGAAAAATCCCTGGACGATTCAGTGTGTAAATAATTGATACATGAACTGTGTTTCGAAAACGTGTCTTCAAAATGATATTTTAGCGCAATATTAAAGAATAAATGTTATTATCAGAAATTATAAATTTTGCAAGTTGACTTTTAAACAATCAATAAAAAATTGAATTTTTTACAAGCGATCGCGAAGATTGCCAAGTCCAGCAAATGCTGTAACAATCTTTAAGAAACGCTAACTGATATAATATAAATGAAAAACTTCAAATATTTTGTGGCTCGATAATGTAATCAGATGTGGATTTCCCTAAACCAAAAAAATAACAGGGTATGGAACATCATTTAGGCTAAAAAAAATCATTTTAAACAATAAAAAGCAGGAGCAAAGCAAACACAGCAGAAGTGGGATCAGGTTTCATGGAGGAGTGACGGTCACACCTGCCGTGTGTTCCTAGTCATAATGGGGATAAACGAAAAATCCGTAGATAAATCACAATGTTAATAGTGGACTGACAATAAGTATAAAAACGTCGGTCAGCTTTTGACTTAATAGTATATTTTATAGTAACACATCCAAGTATGAAACTGATGTATCAGACTCTTTATCATCGTTTATTTCAAACTTACTGAAAAAAGCAAGTCGACAGTAAATAGAAGTAACTAATGTTAATTGATATTAAGTCGTCGATATATCGAAATGTCGGGCTGAAGACCGAACCAAATGTTTTGTATAAATTTATTAGTACATGATTTGAATATATGGAGAAAAAGAACAGTATTCAAGCTTAAAAGTCCATTAATCAACATGCCCCTGTCATGATTAGGAAATAAAGGAAAAATTTGTCGATAATTCGATGTGTAATAATGGTCTAATAATAAATATGATATATGTCAGCTAGCATTTGACTTTATGTTAAAATTGTATTTAATGACAAGCCCATTTTAACGGCCATAGCACTTAAGAAGTGATGACATTAAACGATATTCTTGTTTCATCAACTTGTTTGTCAATAGTTTACCTAGTTCTAAAAATTGTACATGCCTTGAGCAAAATTTTGCGTATTCCATAAACACTGATATATATTAACCCCAGATACATGTACAAGTGATAAAAGCATATTGCTGCATAAGTGAGGGAAGTTGAAAATTGAAAAAATAAAGTCATCATGCTTATCATAAGGCTTAGTTTTTAGATTACCATAACATTTTTTTCTAGTAAAATATTCATTTTTGAAACAGAGGTCAGATTCTGTGGTATCTTTTATATCAAGCTCACTGGAATATATCGTATCGACATAAAATGTATAAATAACCATTGTTCATTGACAATACGTCAATACATAAAAATGTAAATGTTAACCATTGTTAATTGACAATACATCGTCGATATATCTAAATGTAGATTTGACGGCCGCAGCAAGTTTTCTTTCTTTTCACGTATGAGATTTTGGACAAAATTTGAACAGCAAGCAATTGGTACCCACGTGATTCTGACAGATTGTTGGAATACCGGGTCTCCAAAAACTACAAAGATATTGTCAATCAAAAACTCAAGCATCCTTTTTGATATCAGCCTTGGGGTCCTTGTGTCTATAATCAAAATGATTTTTAGCAAAACATTTTTAAAATGAATAATGTAAATGTAAGTAACAAGTTCTATTTTTATCAAAAAGCAACAGTCTATAGTAATTAAAAAAGATTGGACCTTAATTTTTCGAAGAGAGTGTTAAAATTTTTTTAAGTTCCTTTCAGCTTTTTGGAGGTTTTTTTTTTTTACACCCCTTCTCGAACATGTTATTGTACAGTACTCCTGAATGTTCTCCTTTACTGCTGTCAATATTTTGGCGAGGAGTAAAGAAAGGGGCCTGGTAAAAGATTAACTTGAGTCCACTAAAAAAAAAAGACATATGTTTGGCTTTTTAATAAGTTTATGAAATAAACATTGGTATGCTAATAGGCAGTTGATAGGTATTAATGATTGTGTTTAATTCTTGGGAATATTAAAAATATTCAAAAATGACATATGATTATGAAGAATTTCTTCCCTATAAAGGGAGCTGTGGTCAAATATGATATTAAGCTGGGTAAGCACATGCAAAATTAAACTTTGGTCTTCAAAAATACAATTAAAATAATAAGCCTTTAAGAAAGACGATGCTGTTACCCGCTCTGTCTGTTGGGATCTGTACCTACTGATCTATCTAATTATTTTTTCCCTTTTGAATTATTGAACACAGAAACGATACATTGTGTTAATATTGCCCCTCAATGGTTTAATTCTAAATTTTAACATCCATCAGATACTTTTTATAAATATATGACACCAGTTGAATTTTTTTTTTTTATTATTTTTGACCCTTTTAAAATAATGACTTATGGTCCTCTTTATTAACTATATTTACTCCACCGGTTGTGACGTGTCCTACAAGACTGTAGTTGCAGAGTGAAGATGAACACAAATGCGTTGCATATGAGGATTATGCTTCAGATGTTCATACAGAACTGGGACAGACAGACAGACGGACGAACGGACGGACAGGCAGACAGCTAGACAGACAGACGGACGGACGGACGGACAATCTCAGAGGAAACCTATAGTCCCCTCCGATTTCACCGGTAGGGGACTAATAATACTGCAGACGTTACATAATGTCTCACTCCGGTTTTTACATAGGAGTAGGTGATATTATGTCCTACTGAACATTTTGTTTTTGTTGAGGCTCTTGAGCAGGTGGATCAGATTGGATGAAATACCAGAACGACATACATGTAGGATACTCTAAAGTCTATCTCCGTGTATGCTATGGCTATTCAATAACATGTGTTTTATTTACTGGAAAAGATGCCAAAATTGATACTTTACCAACTACTGTGCTTTAGCAGTTAATGGTATTTAGCTGGTTTTATTTTGTAAAATGAATTCGTTTATGGATTACAACACTGTTATCGAAAATCTAATGACAAAACTGAATGAGAAAGAGATTACGATACAACTAACCAACATCACCTGCATATTAATCATTGAAATAAAGTCAACTCCACGCCTTGCTATGTTTTACCAATATACCAGAACAAAAATGTCAACATGATATATTTATCGTTGAATATTGATGGGTATCTTTTTCATACAAACTACATGTATGTAGACCATTATACACACTGAATTGTGTTTACGGTTTATCCCGTTTGCCAAATTATGGAGCAAAGTAGACATTGACCACAAAGTGTGTTTTTCTTCATCATGGCACCTTTGTCCCTGATGTTTGGCCTTTGATCCTAAAATATGTACTGTATCAATTGACATTTGACCCTGATTACTGTTCGATATACCTCAATAGTTCGCGAAATTCAAATGCAATGCATCCACAAAGCAGGTGTATATTTCATAGACCGTTAGCTATGTAATTGTGCAAAACGCAATTTATTGAATATTTTTTTGCATTATTATTCATAATTTATCTAGAAATTAAATATAATGTCATGGCAACTTTCTAATGTGTGTGTTATGTCATTCTGAAAAGTTTGTATTAAAAATTTACCCTGATGTTTGGGCACTGTAGGTTAGCGTTTTTAATTTCCGGGAGGCGATTTTTAAGCTTTGATATCACAGGAAAGCTTACATTTTGAATAACATTGTTATTGTTCCAAATGTGCAGAAGTTTATGTATTTTCGTTTCAAAGGAAAGAGGTCAATTTTACTGATTTTTATGCAACATACACTATATTAGAAAGTTTTCCTATCAGAAATTCACATGCATTG